CATTGGAGGGCGAACACAGCCTGAAAGGAAGAAGTTGCTCTGGGAAGTGGTCAGCATACTTCCTCTTACGCGCTCCCCGTGCTGAGAGCCACAGGGGGTCGGCGGATATGTGCTTTGATGTGTGCGCTCTCATGTGTGTTTTGACATATTCTCCCATTTGTGCACTCTCTGATGTTTATGTTATTTTATGTTCTCTCATAGTGTGCTCGCCTTTGATTGCTCAAATTTGTGTGCTCTTATGTGCGTGCTCTAATGCGTGTGCTCCCTATGCGTGCTCTCTTCTGTTTGCTCTCACATATGTGTGCTTTCATGTGGGTGCTCTCAAGTAGGTGCTCTTGAGTGCGCAAGTTCGCTGACTATTCAAGACTCTATGGGGTCTGTTGCCGGGATAATTATATTTAAAATATCCCTAAGCCACTAGAATATTCCTTGAAGGCTTCTTTCCTTACTTAAGTATTCAACGCAATATGTTGAACCTTCAGAGTGGTTGCCTCACCGAATTTAACCAGACTTGTTCACCTACCTTTTGTTATCGGGCTGAATCACTGGTCTTAGGAGCTTTGGTCCGATCCTCAGTCAACTGCAATGGTTGCGTTTGCTGGGCCTCCGCCAAATTCTCATATTTTGTGTTTTGACAAAGGGCTCACCTAAATCATCCGGGTTTCCAAGAAAGATCATGGTCGTCCCATCGCTGAGCTCAACCTTTTTCCTCCCGACCTTGATGAGTTGTTGCAGTTTGCTGGCAACCCCTGAGCCCGATGAATTTCATCCTCAAAATGGAATGACATTTTCTTTTCATGACTCTGAAAAGACCTTTGGCGTCCAGTTGAGTTAGTTGCCAACCGCTGTCCATCTTGGGTTCACGACTTGCAGTGAGATCCATTCTTCTTCTGAAGGTGTTCTTTTTGGAAGGAACTCGTAACCCCAAAGTCAATTAACTACCGGCACACGCAGGCGTTGACAGAAATCATTTGCTGCCACCGCGACGGCGTTCACCGCGACCTCTTCAGGACGCCCACGTCTCGTGTCCACCGCTCAGGTGGTGGCGATCTTCGTGGTGCCCGTCGCAGTGATGACTGTCTTCAACGCGGCGCTGAAGGTCCCCTGGGCCCGACCCGAAAAGGCCCGGAAGGGCGACTTCCGTTGCGGCGCCGCGCGACGCGAACGCGAAGTGCTAGGAGTTCAGGAGTTCGGGGCAGCTGGTTTGATGCTTTGGTCGAGATTTCTAGGGTGACCCGTGAAACCATGGCAGATGGACACATGATTGTATCGCACCGCCACAAGCAGAGTGTTTGGAAGCTTCTTTTGTTGACGTCTCGTTCGATCAAATGCAGTCAGCTTGGGGTGATCCGTGTAGTGAACAGACCGCTTTCGGAACTCAGACAGACCGGAGGAATGACAGACGGGTGACAGACGAGGGAATGATACTTTTGAAGCGAACAAGGGAGTGGGTGGGCGATGCCTGGGAGGGAATTTTGACTACTGCTTTGACTACGGCAGGACCCAGCGAACCCAAGTGAGAAGAAGGTGGAGATTGACTTCAGTGATTTGCGGGACATTTGAGACGTGTGACTGGGCCAAACCAATTGTTTTGCATGATCAAGTTCAGACCCGATACATTGCAGTACTTCAGCACCTGCTACATGACCAATCATCTCTCGGCATCAGACACGGTCTTGCCACAAATTTTCGACTGTACCAAGCATGATTCTCCAGCCCGATCTGGAGACTTCTGATGTCAAAGTGCAACAATTCAAGGCTTGGTAGAAGCTTGCCAGAGGCAGTTTTGGCAGTACAAGAGCAGCTTTCTGACCGCACGTCGCTGCTTTGAGAGCTTGCTTGGGCCAGACACTGCGTACGAAGCAAACATCCTGCGTGATGTCGGCAGATGAGATGAAGGGCTTTTTGAAGATGATTGAGTTCCCCTTTAGCCCTTGTTGTAGATGCTCACACAAGATCAATGCAGACACATGTGCACAGCAAACAAAGCCTACAAAGATATCGGCATTTGTAAGTGATGCATGTAGTTGTATGGCCGTCCCTGCTTTCTTTCGATGGATCTCCACTCGTCCCCACACGGAATGCTTCAGGTGCAACGGCAGAAGACCGAGTGCCGCCACCCCAGGGGACGGTCGTTTCAAGGCTCGCGGTGCTGACTGATCGTGCCCAAGTTGGGAAGCGGATCGTGCAGACTGATATCACATGATATAACCAGTCATGCAGGCGGTTTATTCATATAAATTATGGAGATCTAACACCGTTCTGGTGCACATGGTGTTCCATAAATCACAAGCTCCAAGCCTTTTTCAAAGGTCAATCCGACTGTGATCGGATGCCGGTGACGAACCGATTGCTTGTCTGGGCCTCGGCGGAAGCAAGCCTTTGGGTCAGCGGCATTTGGTTTCTCGGTGCTGTGATGTGCTCCACATGTGTTTTCAACCCGGAAGAAACACCTCATGCGTCTCAGCTCTGCGCCTTCTGTTTTTGACACGACAGTCAGTGTAGAGCTTTGGTGGCTTTTCCACTCTGGTTTTGCTGGCATTCGCCCTCATTGATTGCGCCCATTTGGCTGGTATGGCGGGTCCGTACGGTATGTCCAAGATTCCGCCGCTGTGAACGTGAAATGGTCTAAGGCCAAAGCGGGGAATCTCGTAGAGCAAGTACCCGAGACTCTCAAAATGAGGATTCGGAATGGCAACCCCGGTGGATTAACTTTTTTCTGGTTTCACTCACTGGGTGGACATGGGGTGCACGGGGGTTCAGTGCCATTTTTGTGCGTTTTCCTGAGGCACTAGCTGGAGTGATTGCCATCCTCCCAGTAGTGCCTTTGCTTGGCACCTACAGGTGCATCACATCGGTTGGTTCTGTAGCTGGAGTCCTACTTGTAGCCGGGCGATGCAGTTTACTGGGAATGGAGCCATTTTGTGATGCAAGCACTCGAACAAGATAGAATAGTTTGCCAGATGTTATCCCAACAAGAGCGCAACCTTTTTCATCACTGTAAACAGGGACGCTTGCAGCTGCGAATGCTGCAAAGGACTGCGAGTGGGACAGCACACCAGTTGTTCCAAGGGAGCAGAATGTTGGCTTTCTGCAAGCAGATAGAACAAAATTGAGCTGTGCAAACTATATAGAAGAATCTGGTAGAGTTCTGCCTGGGTCCTGAGTGAACAAGTCAAGTTGCTGGCTTTGCAGTTCCTTTCTTGCATCCAGGACTTGGTTGCTCCCCAAAGCTAGCGCTCTTCATAGTAGCAGGGGTCTCGGATCATGGAACATGGCGATGCATGGTGTCTGGTGAAGCTTTGCATGGCTTGGCGCAGGTTCCGGTGCGACATGATTTGCAGTGGACTGTGCTTTTTGCAGCACAATAAATAACAGGGTGGACATGCAAAATGCAGAAGTCGTGCACGCTCGTCCAGCTAGGCCTTTTGCAACCTTTGAGTAGGGGTGAAGTGACCGCTTGGATCCAGCAATATATAGGTGTTGCTGGAACATTGAGGGTAGGGGGATAGAACAGGATGCGGGAGATTTACTAATTTGAGAGATTAGTAGTTGCTTGCGCAGCGCAACACCCACGATACTTTGCTGGTTTATTCCTTTTTGTTCGAAGCAAGAAGGTCTCATAAGCTAATTGTCTGAACCCGCAGAAATTATGCGGCTGTTATTTACATCATTGTTTCTTTTGAATCAAAAACACGTGCACGTTTACTTAAGGACTTGGCAGTTTCTGGATGGATCGAACTGCGTCGAACTCAGTCTCCAAGCAGCCCGAGGCCTGGACGACGTATGGCTTCAGCACGCTTTGGCCGCTTGGAAAGGAGCCCGTGGCGCAGTCCAATCGCGTCAGAGCAGTCAGGGAGTTTTGTTTTCGCTGAAAGTGTTTTCTTGACAACCGACATATCTAAGACATTAGTTGGAGGGGGCCACCAATTGAGCAACCATCAAACCCAAAGATCGCACAGCAACCCTCTCCACTCAAACAGTCATCGACCAGGAACAACATCCCAAGTAACCCAAGATAAAAAGCAACAAACCACCTGGACCTGCATGTTTGCAAAAGAACCTAAGCCAAACTCTCGGCACACAAGACTTTGGCTGCGCCGCGCCTTTTTTCAAACCACCACTTGGGTTTTGGTGCGTTGAGCGATAGGCTCAATTGAGGGTATAGCTGATACTTGATGCTTCGATATCATTGAATCATATCAAGAGAGATTCCTTCCGCTTGTTCTTTTCTTTTTCCCAATCAGCCTCATGGCTCATGAAGCAACCACTCGGTGATCGCCGAGGGTGGTCTCTGTGGTCGCAGAGGATGCGGGAGAGCTTGGTGGTAAGGTGAGCCCCAGTCGGATGGGAGTTGAATGGATGCAGGCCGTCATGTAGACGCAGGTGCTTAAGCAGCTCAAACTGTGTGAGGGTTGTTCAGCAGACGAGAGTTCTGCACGTGCACGTCGGGACCTCCGCTGTTCCTAAATTTCACCTCCTTCTCCCAAGTTCGTTCTTTGGGTCAGAACTCTGTGAGGATTTTGGTCAGAACTGCATGACACACTCATTAGTCGCCCTACAGGTTCTCTTCATCATCACCCAGGGCGTGTCTATTTCGCAAAGAGCTTAGTTTTCTGCTCGAGAGGGCGAAGCTTGTCTGCAGGTGGTGTTTCTTCGAAAGGATCACGTCTCAGGATTGATGGATCACACACCTTTTTTGGGCCAAACACGTCAGGCACAACCCAACCAACCAACAGGTCAGGCCGACAGCTCCCATCATTGCCTCTAAAAGCCGCACACGGGCCATTTGGTAGCTCCACCAAAAGAACGGGAGCAATCTCCAGCTTAGTCGAACGCTTGTTTCATTCGGGGTGCGTGTTTCCTTTCATCTGAATCATTTGAACACTAGACTTTGACGCTGTCGCTTTCCAGGTTGCTCTTGGGGATCCCAAGTTCCAAGCACCGCGTGTTTGGGGATGGTATTCGCTGAGGTCCATGGCTGCCTCTCGGAAGATGGCTGAGTTGGCAGAGGCAACGGTGCCGGCTGTGGTGGGTCTAAAGGTGTCAAGAATCTAGAATTTGTTATTTGTTATCCTCCTTTCTTCTCCATTCTTATAATAGATTATTCAGATAGATAGATGGTTGGATAGATGGATAGATGGTTAGATGGATGGATGGATGGATAGATGGATAGCCTCCTGAATACTTTCACCTCGACAGAAAGAAATGGTTACGGGAAAATCGCTGTCAGGGGGTCCATGATTGCTTTAGTGGTTACCTGCAACCACTGTCATTCCCCTCAGTGTGGAGGCCAAAGCCACCGAGAGCAGCTACCGCATGGCCGAGTTTGGCTGCACAGGTGGGTGACCATCGGAAACAGTGACACGTGTTTTCTTTTGTGGCACCAAACGAGTCATGGGCCTCCTGCGAAGATCAAGTGAAGATCAGGTGTTGTGCCCGTTCTGGGCGCCAAAAGAGGCTTTTGCTTCCACTATCGTTCTGGGCGGGGGTAACTGCGACGAGTTGGAGCTTGTTGTATATTCCCTGAATCTTGGCCCGCGGGGAGGCTCTTGGTTCACCGGTGCATGTCCGGGATGATCCAGGAAGCTTGGGGTGGGCAACACTGGTCGATGGAGAAGTTGAAGGCAAACCAACCTGGAAGTGGTTGCCATGTCCCAGACTTCATGGCCCTGCAGCATGTCATCTGGGTGAGGTGGTGAAACCTCTGTTCTGGCAGGTGCTGAAATGGTTGGAGCCACCGTGGGCTCACCAGTCATGGTCGGACCTGCCGTACAAGAGCTGCAGTCCACCGTGGAACGCTTGGAGCAGCAGGCGCGCTGGTTGGTTGGACCTGCATGCATCACATGGCACGCGGTAGCCCACATGGGGCAGCGGTGCGCCATGTTTCAAGCGGCCCCTGCCAACCCCAGTCACCTCAGTCAACCAACAAGTTAATTTCATTATTTGGAGAACGATTCAGAGAAAAATCCTTTGCTCCATAGTCCGGTCTTCCACTTTTCCGACATAGATGTACATACCGATTTCGAGGTGGCAACTTTGCAGCTGGGGCCTTCAGATCATCCAGCCCCTCTGATAAAGAGAGCAAACAGAGACCCGAAGAGATTGGCTGAGAGATCTGAAGTGATTGGACGACGCTGGACGCATCGCATCTAAAAACAACCCGATGCGTTCGCGAGGTGCAGGATTTGAGCAAGAGGCAGGCGATGATGGAGCGGGAACTGGTGACCTGGCATGTTTACTTGGAACCACTGACCCGACTGGAGAATCACCCGAGGGGTTGTGGAAGATTTCCCGGAAAATGGGTGTTGTCCATTGTTGCTCGATTTACTAAAGTTTAGGGTGTTCAACAAACCAGGGCCTCTTCTTGTTGATCCGCATCATGTGAAGCTTTGGACAGAATTTGCGCTAATGCATCCATTGGTCTACCAAATTATTCCTTTGGAGGATACCCGTAAGCCTCATTCCCTGCAAGCACCAGTCAGCTTTCTGCAGAAGGAGAACAAGTCCGACCGAATAAGAAGGGCACAACACATCGGCATGACATCCGGCGCCTTTGCCACCCACCAAACCGACAAAATGTTCTGAAGAAAAGATGCTGTGAAACATGGTCTTTCTGAACCCTGGAGAACTCTTTATCAGATTCTCCAAACATGGTATTGCTGTGTCGAACCAGGAAAGCATTTGATCCTTACGGGTTGTCCCAAATATTTCAAACTACTGCAAATATTTATGTGATTTCCATGGCGGCCAGGAAAACACATAGGACTGGAGATGTAGGTAGAACCATTCTGGAGACGGGGGATCTTTTTGCATAATTAATCAACAGTCTACATTATATGGTTTCCTCCTGGGTCGTGTATCAAAAGGCCTTTCAGCACCTACGTCCAATCAGAGGGCACGGCAAGGCTGCGGAAACGTCTTGGAATAGAGCAATTAGTATCTTAATTGATGTGCTCAGTTGGATGCCAGGGGCATTTTCTGCTATTCCACAGGTAATTATATACTTTGTACCCGCACAACGGGCATGTTACCAATAGAACTCCCAGACTCTTTGTGGAGTTTAGAGAAAGTAGAACTGACCTAGACAGCCACATCATGTGACAATGGCAAATGAAAAATCAAATTTCTCCCTCCGCCCCTCCCCCCCCTCCCCCTCTCTCTCTCTCTCTTTTCGTGGCTTTAGCATGATTACCTCCCTCATTTTGTATCCCTGAGGCAGTGAGCCGGGAATCGCATCAGATCGCACAGGACAATACACAGGAGCTCATTTGAGAGTTGGTCCACAATTGCTTGATTTGTGTTTCTAAAGTTCCTAAAGTTGTTTGGATTCCCGTCCTAAAAGCCACCTTGAAAGGGGATAACCATCCTTGTAGCCAAATGATTGGAGACTAAGCCAAGCGTTCTGGGTGGGGAGGGTTTCCTTTCTACAATGGGGGACATTTCGGCCTGTGTGGGAAGGTGACCCGCTTTTGGTATGAGTTCATACATCCATCCTGGACCTTTGCTCAGATGGGCTTGCTGTTCGGTGCGGTCAGACCAAGGGCCACATGTGCCACTCTGAAAAGACAGAGCGACAGAGCACCGCGAAAGAGAAACGGAAGGGGATCGCGAAGCAAGACCCAGGTTGAAGATTTCCACATTTCTTTTTGCCTGATCCAAACTTTGATGATCAACATGGATCATTTGTAGAAGCATTGGGTTTGTCAATTGCGTGGCTTGTGGGGCGTGTTGGCTGAGGCCTTCCAAAAGAAGGTGGAAGCTGCAACTGGAGGTGTTGACGTGGCTCTGGCGCTGTTATACGGCCTGCACACAACCAATCACCATAACTTGCATGGTATCGAGGAGCCACACAGAAGTTTAGTCAGTTGGGGTAGCAGATTGGTGGAAGATCATGAACACGGAACCGCCGGCGCATGCCATCAGGTGATGATGGCTGCCGGCTGGCTTCCAGACACCAGCCCCGAAGGGGAGGCGGATGCCTGAGTCAGACGTCTAATGGACCTTCTTCCCTTCTGATTTGTCACCAACCAGATCACGCACACTCAATACCATTGTAACAATTGTATATAGATTGGGTCTGTCCTATTTTACCTGTAACAGTTAGTAAACAATTGTCACTATATTAGAGAAAGGCCTCTACTAACCATCGTCATCCACTGTTACTGGTAAGAGGATAGACCCAATATATATATATATATATGACATTGATTGCACTCAGTGAACAGTGCCGAGTCCCTCTGCCGAACACACGACGTGAAGGTCTCAAACGAATCGAACCACGAAAAAGACCCCAATACCCCTGCCCCCTGCCCCCTGCCCGCTGTCAAAACCCACGCCACCTGCCCACCACGCTGGTGTGACGTCACCGGATCATCGGTGACGTCACCGGAGCGTCGGTGACACCGAGCAGGATTGCTGGCTGCTGGGCGATGCGGCCACCTCGTGACTTGCACGAGGGATTGCAATCGGAGGGCGATGAGAGGGCTGGGCGCGGTCTGCTATAGGTCAGATCGCCTGTCAGGGATCCTTGAAAGGGAAGATCATTTTAGCATTTTAACAGCCTGGGGCTTTTCACTTGCCACAGTGGTTGTTGCTTTGTTTGACCTCCTAGTCGTGCCATGTGTGTAGGTCCCAACACAGCTTCATTGCCGCCGTTGATGAAAGCCCTGGACACCACCAAACACTTGTCAAGCACCGTTTGCATAGTTCAAGACATGAGAGGACTCTCCATCAAGGGTCAGTCAGTCCCATTTCTTGAAAACCCAACACACACACACACACACACTTAGGATAGGGTGTACTGAACTGAAAGCGGTGCCACACGCCGGCCTAGGGTTCCAATTCCTAAGGGTACATGTACGAACCACTGGATCCTGGTGGTCTTCAAGAGGAAGTAGGGCCCAAAAGGAAAAGAACGATCGACGAACCGACAAGATGACGTCGTGGCGTGCAAGTCTGCGGAATGAGGTTCTTGGCTTAGCCTCTTGCCATGCGGAAATGTTGGAAAAAGTGCTGGAAAAAGTGCAGGTACGTCGGTGAGCGTCCCCACCGATATCAGTGTTCAATGCAAGCCTCTTCGTTGGGCTGGTACTTGCATGAACAACCAGCCCCCCTGCTGTGAAACAAAATCCAAAAGGACCCCTATGACTCCAAGGGTTACACACACACGCCTCCCCGAAGGGAGGCATGTTTTAAGCTCCGCGCCAAAAGGTGCGGATAAAGTAGTAGCATTTCCAGGAACCTCTAGTAGCGTCAAAGTAGCGACCTAGCACCTAGTAGGAAGGCCAGGAGCCCCTAGTAGCAACCCAAGCTAAGGTCCCGACAGGAGGGAGGGGTAGGGAGAGACGAGAAAAAGGAAAGAGGAGGAAGGAAGGTGTTCCCAGCTACGACGCAAGCGTCCAAGGACACACCAAAAGAAGAGCGGAGAAGGGTTCCCAGCTATGACAAAAGCATCCAGGGACACCCAAGGAGGAGGGAAGGTGGAGAGAAAAGAGAGAAAGAAAGAAAGAGAGAGGGAGAGAAAGGGAGAGGAGAAAAAAAAGAAAAGGCAGGTGTTCCCAGCTACGAACAATCGTCCAGGGACACACCAAAGAAAGAAAGGGGTGATCCTGAGTCTTCCATTCAGGAAAACCTCAAAAAGCAAGGAAAGAAAGGGGAGGGAAGGGGAAGCAGGGGGACTAAGCTCGCAACAGGTTCCAATGAACCTTGAACAGACTTCGGTCGCTGCGACCACGTACGGCTTGCCCGAGGGTTGCCACCTCTGACCGCTGCGGTCACGTATAGGCATGGGCCAACTTGGAATTCCAAAGATGGGACAAAAATCATCGTACGTACGGCCTAGGCCACCTACGCTCGCTGCGAGCTGCTCTGTATCCGGGCAGGGGATACGTTGGACATACACCCGTTCGACGGGTCGCGGGCTCATCCCGGGTTGGCACGAGGCCAAACACACTTAGGATAGGGTGTACTGAACTGAAAGCGGTGCCACACGCCGGCCTAGGGTTCCAATTCCTAAGGGTACATGTACGAACCACTGGATCCTGGTGGTCTTCAAGAGGAAGTAGGGCCCAAACGGAAAAGAACGATCGACGAACCGACAAGATGACGTCGTGGCGTGCAAGTCTGCGGAATGAGGTTCTTGGCTTAGCCTCTTGCCATGCGGAAATGTTGGAAAAAGTGCTGGAAAAAGTGCAGGTACGTCGGTGAGCGTCCCCACCGATATCAGTGTTCAATGCAAGCCTCTTCGTTGGGCTGGTACTTGCATGAACAACCCCCCTGCTGTGAAACAAAATCCAAAAGGATCTATGATTCCAAGGTGTACATACACACACACTTCCCCACCATGGCGCACCGTGAGTTTCTTGCATGACACGCTGAGGATGCAGGCGTCCGTGTCCAAGCGCCTCTCTGAAGAGCTCAAGAAGCTGCTGGGAAACCTGGCCATCATGAGCTGTGAGAACTGCGGGCAAGAAAGTTCCGAAGAGCCTGCCATGGGTTTGCTTTCGAGCACTACTTGGAAAACACGATGAGGTTCTTCAAGCAATGATGTGAAGCGCTGGACGTGCTGGATCTGGTCCCCACATGTCCCACCGACGCGTGAATGCTGTGATGGCCATGTTTCAATGGCTATGGCTCAAAAAAGGGTACCAACCAAATTCATTGATAAAGGAATTAAAACATACTTCAAGAACCCTAAAATTTACGCTAACATGACACTTGCGGTCTACAGCGGATCGGATTGACACGTCCATTTTGCCTGACAGGTACAGCAGGTCAGCTTTCCACACCCGTTTAAAGTTTAATACTTGTAAGGCTTTCAGGCGTGGAAATCTGACCGCAAGTTAGGTGTCGACATGTTGCACGTAGGATTCTAAGGGGAAAGGGTTTGTCTTGTTTTAGAAGTTAAGAAACGCAACTTTCGGCACCCCAGTGTATAAATACATATATTATATATATATACACATAGTATTATATATTTATATAGACTAGGCCCGACGAGTCCCTGGTTCCTATGGTTCTTGTGCTTTGAGCCCCATCCAGATGTGGTTTCCCTCCAAGGCCAGCCCCTCCGACTCCGGCGCCTGCACCCGTGCCAGCGCCTGTTCCGTCTGGGGGCTTAGTGGTCTGCAGTACCAGAGCGGTTTGTAGATGGATAAAGAGGAGATGAAGACAAGACACCCAAGAACCGTGGGACAGAACTTCCCCTTCACTTGTGGCTTCGGATTTTTTCTTGAGATGCACTTGGCATAGGATTAGCTGACAGGTGCATGTGTTGGCTATAGTATGCCACCGAAGAATAGTAGCTGACAAGATGAATTAGTAATAAAATTAGTGCGTATATTTTCGATATTTGTCCATGTTTTTTTTCAAAGATAGGGAGCTGCCTTATCAATTCTCAATACACTCGTGTCCTGAGTTAGGGAGGCAAAGCTGTCCTAGCAGCCTTTCCGAGCGGACCAATTCACGTCGTTTAGGTCACCCTCACCTGGAGGCTACGGAGGCGGGGCACTCAGGGTGGAGACGTGTGTAGGACGTGAGACATGGGCAAGGCTGAGACCTAGATGCTAGACGGTCCGTTGACACAGGATATGCTTGGCTCGCCTCCTGCCTAGCTGAGTGACCTAGCCGACCTCCATCGATGCGATGTCCTTGCCTAGCTGGGTGAAGGAAGAACTTCCTACACTGCAGGCATGCCCAGCCCTGGGGGCTTCCCTGGGCTGGGTGGCCTGCCTGGGGGTTTGCCGCCTGGAATGGCCAACAATCCAATGATGCAGCAGGCAGAGCTGGGGCCAGGGGGGTTCATCTACGTGGTATCTTTCTTTTCTTACAGAGATAGGCGGGAATTTCTGATTCACAACTCCTGAACTCCTGTGGGCCAGAACGGATCACATGCTGATTTGAAGCTTTGCGTGTATGTGTATATATATATATATATCTACACACATATTTGTACATCCATCTCTATCACGAGGAACACTGAAACTTGGTGAACAGCCGGGGTAGCTTGGTGTCAATCAATGTGACCACATCTAGGGTTTGTATGGAGTGTATTTCAACTTCATAGGGGACACGAATGAGTACTGGATGTGCGGAAGAAGTCACAGGTGAGACTCAGGAACCGTTGATGACCATCGCAATCGAACTATTTTGCCGTTGAACGACACATCTCTCAAGTGACCACATGTGTTGCGGAACTTTGGAACGACATTGTCCATCAAAACGACGTAGGTGACACAACAAGGACAAGATCCTTAGGAAAGGTGTCCAGTGATTTTTGTCTTTGTCCAAATTGTTAAGGCACTTCAAGATTTTCGACACGCCTGGTAATTCAAGTCTGCTCTCAATGGTGCTAAGAGACCCTGCCCAGATGATGAACAACCCGCAGATGATGCAGCAGGCAGGCTGTCTGTCACGGGATCTGGCCTCGTTGCTCTCCAAAAACTGCGCGGAGCCTGTGTCAGGCACAGCAGATGATGCAAGATCCCAACATGATGTCTCAGGCCTACAAACCGCTCAGAACATGTGTGCCTACATGATGCAGCCGCTGCTGCCACATGAAACCAGCTCAGTACGCTGGTATGGATGATTTGCATGTCACTAGGGCCATTAAGGGTTTCTTCAGACATCTTCAAAGGCAACTGACGGTTCTTCTGGCGGCAGGCTTTCAGAAACACTTGTTGTATCTTGTTGTTGTTGTTGTTGTTGTTGTTGATCGTTGGTCCAACTCTGTCGGAATAGGTGCAACAGATGATGCAGAACCCACAGGCCATGGCACAATTGCAGCAGATGAACTTTGGCTGCAGACGGATGGGCGAGATCAGGTGGTTTCTGCGAACAATCGAACACGGTGTTTGCGAAAAAAGACAACCATAAAACAACAAGCTTTGTAAATGGTCTATTCCAGGCTTCAAAAAGCCGTATCTGTCCACAGAGCCATCAGAGCGATGTTGAGGGATGAATTTCTCCGAACGAGCTGAAGAGATGCTGAAGATGCTGAAGAGATGCCCGATGCATGAGGCATTCACAAACATGCCTGAGGCATTCATTAAATATATAAAACGGATCGGAACCATATCGGAACCATCGGAGAACCACATGGGGTAATATGAACTATTGAACCTTCCAATTTGACTCCGCCCTCCACAGGATGGGCGGTGGCGGCTTTGGACGTTGAGGGTCCGAGGAGCCCCAAAGGGGGCCCGGCTCGAAGATATCTGGAATGTGATAGAGCGATTTGAGAGGACCTCCTTCCACAATCCCTAGCTGATATATATATATATACATATATACACACCTGGAACCCATTTGACCACTGTTTTGATAGGAAAAGACTGTCTTTTGGGTGTTTGTGTGCTGTTGATGCGAGAACGTTGTGGGGGGAGAGGGCTGACATGTCTGGCATGTCTTCCATAGATACTGCTGTGGTTTGAGGTGGAAAGAGGCCCAAAATGGCAATTCTTTCCTGGCACCCTCATGTGTTGGGTGTCTTGATTCCCGTCATCTGTACAGAAACGCCCTGATGTGGTAAGAAAAGTTGTTCTGAACGATCTGATGTACGAACAGTTCCAGATTGCAGTTTGGAGCAGCAGCTAATTGTTTTTATTCTGGTGCAGCTGATGCAAGCCACTCAGCATCATGAAATCACAGTAGTTGCAGAACCATTAGGAAGCATCGAGTCTGGCAATAATCTCTTGACGTAGTGTGAAGCCGGCTGCACAAAACTGAGTTTAGTTCCTAACGTGTTGAGGGATCCTTAGGTTTCTGCCAACTGAAAGGCAAAGTAAACCGATCTACATGGTGGGTGGACGCGCACTCCACTTGAGACATGCCCACAGTCACTACATGCATGGCGCATGTCGTGCCACAGCTCTCAAACTGTGACTTTTCCGCATGAGGGTGCAGACGCTGTGTGCCACCGGTGCGGAGGGGCAAAGAAATACAGTGGACGTCGTCATCCGTGGACGGCCACAAGGTACCATCGTCTTCTTTCCTGGAGATATTTCTGCTGGGCGAGAAGAGATGAAGGCCGATGAGGAGTCGCGAGAGTGGCTGGAGTGGAATACAGAGGCCATCTGTGAACTCTTGGCCAAGCGGTGCCCTGTTTCCATGCGAGTGGTGTTGGTGCGGCCCTCACGGATGCGACAAGGGTTTAGCTGCTATGATCACTTTCTGACGACGAATTTGAATGGTGATCCGTTGGATGGCGAATATGACCCGGAAGGGTCTTGCAGTTTGCATCTCTTGATGCTGCTTCAGGATTTGTCAAGGACCTTGAACATCTCCGAAGATGAGTTTTTCTCATCTTTTCATATCCTAGCCTTCAGCAAAGGTGGGGTGGTCATCAATCAGCTGCTCGCCGAGTTGGGGGCTGATGTTTGTGTGGAAGGTTCGAGGAAACTGCTGGCGGTCACCCGCTCGATTGGGTGGCTGGATCCCGGGGTCAATGAGGGCAGCTGTGTCTTCCTGACGAACGAGGAGCTGCTGCGACGTGCGGGGCGCCGCTTGCGTGGCGTGACACCTCCAACCACGCTTTTTGCGGTCTTTACGCCGTTTCAACTTGCAGTGGAGTCTTATGGCTTCGAATACCCGGAGGAGGAAGAGGCTGCGACTTCGGAGGAATTAGGATTGGACCTGGTACAGTCGATCATGAAAGAGGAGGAGGTTCCATTTGAGGTGGAGTTTTGTTGCTTTGACCGGGAGCCCACGATGCAAACGCATTTCCATGTGCTGAAAGAGTTTCGCACCTGGCGCTTCTCTCGTAAAGCTTGGAATGGCCAAATGACGAACAAAGAAAGAGAGAGTTTTACGCGGAGGATCCCCCTCACGCTGTCCCGGTCATGTGTACTCATGTGACACTCTCTTTGAAGCGGTGCGCATGTGGACGCTGTAACCCGCTGTCCACCCTCAAGCTGTGTTTGAAGCGATGAGAGCCAAATCCTTTTTGGCCCAAGGAGGCCAAAGCTGAAGTGGCTCCCGTGGCACGTCTTACAGATCAGCTGTGAAAAGAGCAGATGCAAAGCATATGCCGGTGATTTCATAGAGCCAAGGTCAGCAAAGCCTGGCATGGTCAGCTTTGGACATGGAAGTCCAAACACCTCTTCAGGACGTGGATAGGGTCCGGGATGAACTCCCGGATGCGGGACGGTCTTCTTTTGTTTTGGAACACCGTGTCATGCATAGAATGAACTGTCTGCATCTGTCGACGCATCTGTCTGCTTTTGCTCAAGTCCTCTGTGAAACGCGCTCTAGTCTTTGCAGCCCCGACGTTGCGGGTGTTGCAGTCCGGCCACCAAGTCTGTTCCCCTGTCACTTTGCGGTGACCGTTCGATCTCCGAGCTTCTTGCTTCGTTCGCTTGCGGTTCCTAAACCCGAATCATGGATTGAAAGAGAACGTGAGCACACACGGTGCTTGCACCATGCTACACATGGTGTAGCACTCCGTGCCCGGCCCAAAACAGAAGGCGCCAGGCCTTGGGAGGTCCCTCCCCAAAGGCTCCGCCAGGCCTCGCCCCGGTGACCGGCCAGGTCTGACCGAGACTTCGCATGCGGTGACCGGGGGGGACGGTGAGGACGGCTCGGATTGGCCGGGAAGCTCAGAGAGATGGATGTGGGGATTGGCCGGAGGTCGGGTCCGAAGCACGAAGACATGAGATCATGTGACTAGTGGATCTGAGGATCTTGTGGTCCTTGGTATTTTTGAAAGGGCACGGTGTGGTCTTGGCGAGGCTGCACCCGAGCTGTCCAACTTCCGACCCCGTGAGGAAACCAGTTGTCCACCTTGGTACATCAAGCCTTCGTGATCCATGGTTTGGTGGATCCCAGGTCGAATCGGCTGCTCAATGAGGCGAGTGAGGGACGCGCTTGCGCAGGAAAGACTCCGACAACAAATCATCTAGAATTGTCGCCAAACTACACTGGAAACACCACAAAAAGAGCACAAAAGACTCCAGAAGTCACCAGGAGCACCAACCTTACAGTGCAAGGGAGCGAAAGTTATTCGCATAACACCTTTCCGGAAGTACCACTATATAGGGACATCCCGCAAGGATAGGAATAGAATATCCCCAATGCACCTGTACCTGGGTGAGGATGGACTTTCCTTCTTGGAGGACGACTACTGTAGATATCTATAGACTGTATATGATCTCCCACAACAGTCCGACTTGCTTGGGCAACTGGGCTAAAAAGAACCACTCAGAAGTAGTCGAACAGCCCAAGATCTAACCACCCTTACTGACAACCCTTGTTGATTTGAGTACTGTGTTATTGACACACTTGGGCAACAGCGGGGGGCCTTTCATCCAAGAGATCATCACGCCATGCAACACATTCTTGAAAGTAATTCAACATATTGCATCCAACATCCGTATGTGGATGTTCAAAAAATAATATAGAGAGACTCAGAGAGACCTCCAAAGACTCTCTGGAAGAAGGGGAACAGGCCAACACCCTTTGAGAACAGGATGTCTCCCCGTTAAAATACACATCCATGTGATTCCATGTGTCACCAATTTCTCTCAGGTGGATTTTCCATGTGCCCTCGATCCTTGGGCTCACTCTTGCTGACGAGTTGTGAGGAGCTCAGTTGAAAGACTGTGACTGGCACGAATCAGAATCGGGACCTCAAAAAAGGGAACACTCCCAGCCAGACCTCTGTTTTTTTGGTTGAGGAGTCGTGGTTTCAGAGACAGACAACTGAGCTGAGCTGGCTAGCTGACATGTAGACTCCAACCACCTAGAGGTGCGACCATGCCGCTCCCGACGATGACCTGTACAAGGTTGGAGAACTCTGTGGCCGAACCCCTTGAAACACTGGCCCCTCGCTGAAGTAGACGTCAGTTTCTGGGCGGAGCACTGGGGCGCCCGGAGGGCTTTTGTATTGCAAGGAACACCGGTGTTTTCCTCGACAGGGTCCATGGTCGTGGCGTCGGCCGCCCGGGCCGGGGTGAAGAGCCTTGGTGACGAATTTCTTTAGACCAAACATGGAGGATTAACTGGACTGAGAAACGCCCTCCACCTCCACACGCAGAAAATGGATGGACATCCATTGGTCGTGCGGGCATAGATTTGAAGGCGGCACACATCACATTCATATCCCTTCCAATGTGAGAAGCGCCCCGTTTTCAGGCCTTTGATGTGTCCATCGAGGAGGATTCCAAGACCTTGAAGCTTTTGCAGGCGCCAAGCCTCTCTGAGAAGAAGAATGGATGAGACGGTGCACGTACTCGGTAGGATATGGTAGGATGAGGATGTTCTTGTAGCATCTTGTAGCTACGTCGGTGGCATCTAGAGTTTCGGGGAATGCAAGTTTTGTTTGCATCAATTTGATTTAGAGTGATTTGCCTTTATATATGCTGCGTTTGCATTTACACCCCGGAAAACCCAGAATGAGTCACTTGAGGAGACTAGTCTTCCAGGGGTCCACTTTCTTCAACGCCCCTCACTGGTTCAGTTCAGGTTGAATAAATCGTTTGGGACCTTCAATGTTCGCTGATGTTCGCTGTCTTGGGGTGTGTCAAAATGTGTCCAATCAGCCGTAGCACTCGATACACTTTTGGATCACGTCCTTCGACGAGGATCACATCCACGGCAGGTTGGGAGGATCGCATCACAAACGGTCGGACACCAAACCTTGGAGGCGAAGGGTGTGCAGTGTGCAGGTCACGCGTCCATTCGAAGGTGTGCAGGTCCTTGGATGGGGGATGCTGGTCAACTGGTCATTCGCACCAGATGGGCCATCTTCGCATCCCTTCAACACTGATTTCGCACACATTGGTTGGTTGTTGTAACAAGAAGCATATATTGGTGGAGGCCATCGCTATTAGCTTGGAGGCCATCACTACTAAGGAAGCCATGAAGCTACTAGGGTGGAGGTGGTTTCTATGGTCGTCACTTCCAGCCACTGATGGCATCACATCCACCGGACCGGATTGTGGACCGCGATCCAGCCTCTCAAGCGATCCGATCGACACTTTGGGTGCAGAAACACAGTGGACTGAACCCCCTAGACCAAAGAAAAGGTGTAATCTTTCAACTGGCAGAAGCATGTTCTAAGACCACCTGGGCTCAAAAGGTTTCAATCTTCTCACTGGCGACCACCCAACCTGTACGAACGGTTGGGAACGCCTGACCCACTGTCCTTGGACACAGATGGGTTGGACCACTGTCCATGCC